ATTGGTCTGACAGAGTTCATCTGACATTGACCCCATTTTCATGGTTCATTAGTCAACCTTAAGTTTTCATGGATAAATCTGCTTCACAGATACTATAAGAAATATGTCATCTAAACATGAATGGATGCTTGTAAGGTTAATTTACATGGTTCACTTCACACACGACCTCATTTTCATGGTTCATTAGTGAATGTAAAGTTTTCTTGGTTAGGTGTGTTTTGTCAACTAAAGGATATTTGGTGAATAGAATGATCAGAAGTTGACTTGTACATGTTCTCTGGCAGGGTTTAAATCATTGACCTTGACCATTTTTATGGTTCATTGGTCATTATTAAAATAGTAAGGGCTGTCTGGAAGGATTCTTCTGACCTTGACTTCATTTTTATGGATCACTGATAATTGTTAGTTAATACGATACCTACATCATCAAGCCATAAATTTCAATCATGGTTAGTAAAGCAGGCAAGAAGTTTCAGTGTGTAATCTTGATGTAATGTTGTCTATAAAACTAGCAAATTAAAATATGATTCATGCCAACTTTTAAGACCTTTAAATAAACTTATTAAATTGCAGCAAGATCTTTTAATAATGTCCCTACCCATAGGTATATTGGTTTTGTTGTCAAAAGTTTCATAGACATAGAATAACTAAATATATATATTGCTATCCAGTGATCATCACTTATGGTCATGCATCCTGCTGATACCTATGAATATAATGCTTTCAACAAGGATTGCTAGTTTTTATGCCAAAGGTGGGTGGTTCTCTCAGGCTTCCTCCACCAATAAAAACTGGCCATCACGATAAAGCCAAAAGTGCTGAAAGTGGTGTTAAAAAAATTAATCAATCATTCATATAATGATTTCATTCCAAATCTGTTGGAGATGCACTGATTGATATTGAAGTCTGAGACAACACAGTATACTAAATTACTTGAAATTGGAATTTTGGCTAGCTCTCAGGACTTTGAGTACTCTAAGATTTGTATTTTAATTTATAGAGTGTTTTTTGTGATTAATAGTGCTGATTTAAGGAGTCCAGCCTTAATTGAATTTTATACTCTCTTGTCTTGTGCTGTTAAAACTCTGTCCCAGAGTAGGAGAGGGTTCAGTACAAACATGCTTTGTGTGCCTGTCTCAAGCTAGAAGCCTGTTGTTAGTTGCCATCTGGCTTAATTGTTTGCGTTGAATGTTATTTAAATCAGGTTGTTATTCACCCCTTTTAAATGTTTCCCTTTTTGCGATTCATCCGTTGCGTGGATCATAAATCCATGAAAATGAGGTCAAGGACAACTAACATATATGCCAGATGGAATATGCCTCTGATGAGTAATCAACACTAGACAACAGACAATCATATGTTTATTTGCATAAACACAAATACAATAAATGGTTAAGGCATGTTCCAGCTAACAATAAACATTTTAAAATAAAATAAACAAAGACTCTAAAGAGTCAGAATCATTCACCTGACAAAACTACCCCTTCATACTAGCAGCTAAGGAGAGTTAGACTTCAGATAAAGCTAAAGGTATTGTGATTTTCGAGACAAAATGACATTCCCTCGACTTTGTATCAAAGTACAAATGGTTTCAATTGGTTCACTTGGTTTTTAGAACTTAATGCACACTTCTGCAGGATTTCATGTCACTTCATTTATTCTTGATATTAAAATCAATGTCTAATTTCCCTTTGGTTTTATGGTTAACTTTGACTTTTAATAAAATGCATTTGGCAACAAGTGTAATAAGGATTGTCAAAGGAGCATTTCTTTAAAGTTTGGTTCCAAGAGATTCAACAATTCTTGAAAAGTTTTTAAAAGTCAAAGAAACCAGGATCTAGGATAGCCCAGAGTAGTCAACTTCGTGAAGGAATTGACAACACACGGAAAGGAACAAACTGAAATATAAATGGAGGATGACGGATGTCAAGTGATATTTATAGTTCATATTGTTCTTCATCTAAGGTGAATTAAAAAAAAAAAGCAGCTTGCTAGATGAGAATTGTTGGCGTAACATTTTTCTATTACATTATACATTTATTGTTATTGTTGTAATAAAGGTTATTTTAAAGGAGTTTACACATCAATAGACTCCAAACAAAATGCACTAAAATTATGTCAAGATCAAAAAGCCAAATAACACTTACAGAACTATTACACTTTTGGTTGAAGCTTACCAATGAAATAGGACTTAACACCTGAGAATTAGGAGATAGAGGACCAAATTTTGACACATATCAATTTTAGATATAAATATAAAAAGTTCACATTGGCCTAAAGGTCCAGTTGAAGATAAAATTAACAAAGTAAATAAACATTTTAGTTTGTTCATTTGGTTCTTATTAAGTGAAAAACTAATATGACTAAGACTGAATGTTTTGTCGCACTAAGCATACCCCACTTGTAATTCAAAGTATCTGAAAACAGGAAGTAGGTGTTAGATAGATTCAAAAAGGGCTCACAAGTTACAGCTCATCACTAACAAGCTGCTCACTAAATATGAAGTCATTCTGTTCAGTAATACTTGGAGAAAAGTGTAAATTGTATTTCAGATCATTAAACATTGAAAAATACAAAGCATAGGCAAACAGGAGGTAGAGGATAGACAGATCTGAAAACTGGTAACACTTTACAACTCATGATGATGATGATAGATGGCTGCTTAATGTCCAGCAGCAGGGCCCTCGGTGGCCGAGTGGTCTAAGTAGTTACTACTGTAATCACTAGCCAGTCAACACTGAGGTTGTGAGTTCGAACCCCGCTCGTGCTGGTGCACTTGACTCCAATCTTTATTGACTAGGATTGTCAGTTTCCCTATCGAAGGTCGGTGGTTTTCCACCGGGCACTCCGGCTTCCTTCACCAATAAAAACTGGCCCCCACGAAATAGCCCAAAAGCGGTGCTTAAAATTGGCGTTAAAACACCAAAAATCAAATCAAATCAAGGTCCAGCAGCAAATTAATATGCATATTCCGGATGAGAACATGCTTTGTACTAGACCAATACGCTGAGCCGAATTTTTAATATGCTAGTTCACAAGGTAAGTCTGCAGAAAGACATGTCACCTTACACGGATACATTATCCTGACTCTGAGTCGACCAGTCTTTGCTCTTACTCAATGCTGGTTTACAACTCATCACTGTTAATTACTGTAATAGTATTGGCAAACCGGAAGTAGGTAAGAAACAAACCCGGTCACACTTTACAACTCATTACTGTCAAGTTGCTGGCCAAATATGAAGTTATTCTGTTCAGTAGTACACAAGAAAAGTGTGACAGAAATATTTGTTGGAAGAACAGATAAACTGATGAAAGGACAAGCTGAATGCAATTTAGCCCTCACTCTTTAAGTGGGGCATAATATGGAATATTTTACTGATAAATAAAGTTTATTAAAAACTTATTTTTGAAATATAAACAACAGTAAGGCACAATTACACAGTCAAGACAGTACTTACTTCAAACATAAGTTACAGATAACATATAGATAACAACATGAATTCCATTCACTTAACTGATCTTTCAAACTTTTCATTCATGAGCATCAAGCATTTACAATAATATATATTGCCTCCACACGCCTATACATTTCATGATCCTTTTGTCCATTAATAGTACATCAGTCTGAACCGAAATGAAAACAAATTGCTGGATAGTAAGACCACAATTTTATTTAAATATCAAAATTTTACTACATAATTATTAAGTTTTTAAAGATGTCAGAAAGGGAGATAACTGAAATTTATTTTGTCTGACATTTAGAAAAAAAAATTAATTAAATTGTTGGTTTTTTTTGCCATGATAAATAAATGTATCAATCCAAGTCTTATACAAGAACTATTCAGAATCTGTTTTTTTTTGCAAAAAGAACCTAGAGTTTTGCAAAATTAATAAAATGCTCCGCTGTGGCGCAGCTTGATACGACCGCAGAGGTCGAACCCTGAACAGTTGGGGCAAGTATGGACACAACATTCAAGCTTGATACAGCACTGAATTTGGATTGTAATTAAATATTTGACACAGCATAGGTTTCTGACACAGAATGAAAGTGGTCTAAGAACTTAAAAATTTTTAATTTACCTATTCAAACCATATCATTATTATTTGCTTTTATATATAAATCAGAAATAACCAATTTAAAATGGTAAATTTTAAAGAAAGAAAAGGAAAAAAAAATCCCCCCCCAAATTTTTTGAACCCCCTTATGATTCATCACTCCCAAACTCAATCCCAGCCTTCCCTTTGTGGTATGGTACCTTGCAGTACAATTTCAGAGAGATACATACACTTGAACACAAGTTATTGTCTGGAAACTAGAAAAATGCTTGTTTTTTGGCCCCAAATTCAAACCCAGCTTTCCCTTTGTGATATGGAACCTTGCAGTACAATTTCATAAAGATCCATACACTTACACAAAAGTTATTTTCCTGAAACTAGAAAAATGCTTGTTTTTTTGCCCTTTTATGGCCCCTAATTCCTATAATTTGGAGGGAATTACCCCCAAAATCAATCCCAGCCTTCCCTTTGTGGTATGGTACCTTGCAGTACAATTTCAGAGAGATCCATAAACTTGAACACAAGTTATTGTCTGGAAACTAGAAAAATGCTTATTTTTGGCCCCTTTTTGGCCCCTTATTCCTAAACTTTTTTGGGCAATTACCCCCAAATTCAATTCCAGCTTTCCCTTTGTGATATGGAACCGTGTAGTACAATTTCATAAAGATCCATACACTTACACACAAGTTATTGTCATGAAACTAGAAAAATGCTTGTTTTTTTGCCCCTTTTTGGCCCCTAATTCCTAAAATTTGGAGGCAATTACCCCCAAAATCAATCCCAGCATTTCCTTTGTGATATGGAACCTTGTGGTACAATGTCAGAGAGATCCATACACTTACACACAAGTTATGTCTGGAAGTTACAAAAATGCTTATTTTTGGCCCCTTTTTGGCCCCTAATTCCTTAACTGTTGGTACCATAACCCCCAAAACAATCACCACCTTCCTTTTGTGGTATTGAACCTTATGGTAAAATTTCATTGAGATCCATTCACTTAAACTAAAGTTAGAGTGTGAAAACTAATGTGTCTTCGGACGACGACGCCAACGTCATACCAATATACGACCACAAAAATTTGTTTGCGGTCGTATAAAAATCAGTTGAAAATAAGGGTAAGTTCAAAATCCAACATTAAATGTAAGTTTATTTTATAAGTAGTCACTGTTAATCTCATATAAGCATGAAGACAGTTTCACTGTCTGATGATGTTTAAGTATATATATATATATATATACATTAAGTCTACATTTGGTAAATTGCGGATCAGATTTATATTCACAAATTAAGAAAAAATGGAATATAAATCATTTTTGTTTCCAATAGAATATCTGAAGCCATTTGTATTTCTGGGAGTTGTAATAATAACTTGTCCAAGCGGTGAACATGGCCTGCGACATCTCCATGAGCACTGTCAGTAAAACTTTTTAACACTTCAACATATTGGTCATGAATTCTGGCAACAATTTCATTTCTTTTCCCATCACCTGGAAAAAAATCATAATTGTTTACATGAATTAAACATAATAAATGAATACATGTACTGCATTTGAAAATATGTCATGTTGTCATAATTGTTTAAAATTAGCACTGCTTATAAAATTACTAACCTTTGTGAGCATGATAACAAGCCCCATGCCCCACATTGTCACTGAGCAAACAAAATCTCACCAGATTCCTAAGTTCAAAGACTCATAACTCCTAAAATGAATTGCTTCGCCGAGCGCAGCTGGATACCACCGCAGAGGTCCAACCCTGAACAGTTGGGGCAAAAACGGACACAATATTCACGCTTGATACAGGTCTGAATTTGGATTGTAATTAAATATTTGACACATAATAGGTTTCTGACACAGAATAACTATAGTCAAAGAACTTAGAATTGGTTATATGATTTGAATTTATATTCAATTTTTTGCTTTTGTGCAATACACTATGGGTTATAGTCCTAACAGTTTAGGAATTAGGGGCCAAAAAGGGGCCCAAATAAGCCCTTTTATAGCATAGCTAGCTATATGATAGTTTTTCTCATTATTGAAGGCAAAGACCTATAGTTGCTTACATCAATGGTCTTTGATCTCTTTAAGATAGTTGTCTCATTGGCAATCATATCACATCTCCTTATTTTCATATCCAAGCAAATTTAATTTTAAGTTCCGTAACTTTACTACAATTAACCTAATGCAGTTTGTGCAAATCAATAACTTTAAGTTTGTGATGTCCAATGTATTCTTTTGATCACAGCAAGCACCAATAAGTTCCCAAACACATGAAACACATCAACTTTTGCAATTTAGTATTTTATAAAGACGTTCATTCCAATGGCTTAAAAGATTCCTAGGTATACAGTTCAATTTTAATGTACATTTCTTACTGAATTCAAGGGCAAAATCTCTTGATTAAAAATAGAGCCTTCAGCTGTTGTTATTGTTCATGGTAATGACTTTCAAAGGCCTTTAAGGTATTTTATCATATCATTTGGAAATGATATTTAAGAATTTTCAATTTTCATAGGGAATAACTTCTTTTTCATTGGCCTTTATTACATCATTTTTTTTAACGATATAAGCTGCCATATTATGATTTGAGTTTGAACTGTATTCTATGTTTATAAGTTTTTCTTCCAAAAACATCAAAGCTATAAGTTAAGTTAGTTAACTTAAGTTAACATCATTTATTGTTACAATTAATTTTGCAGAAATTCAAGGGACATTACTTATGAACAATAGCAACAATTATTAGTGTACAGGTCTGTAAACAGTAGGTCTCTGAGGGGGGTTATTTGGGGTCTAAAGCTCAGACTTTAATAGTCAAACTTCAATCGGAATCTCTACGTTTATAGTCTGCACTAGTATTTTAGTTTTCAGAGGGTGCAAACCCCCCTAAACCACCTTACTACAAGTATGGTGAAATTCACACTTGATTGTTTTCATACAATATTGTAAAATATTTGTCTAAAAAATAAGGTCAATTAGGATATGATAAAAAAAATATTTTTTTAGACAGGCATGGGTGGCCTAAGAAGGAAGAAATCTTATACTGAAATATTGTAGAAAAATATATAAAAAGCATTTTTACCTTGTTTGAGTAATAATATGACCTGCAAGCATGCATACTCCTCTTCTTTCAACAGCAATAAATGAAATGTAAACATGATTTTACACATATGTCTGATGAACAAATCCATATTTGAACTAATAATGTCAGTCCCCAAGTTCTTTTTGAATAATTTTTTCAAACAAATTTTCACATTTCTCAACTTTTGTTGATGAAATACATCAAAGGTAGCGGACATCTCAACTTTCCTTAAAACTGGCTGAGCTGATGTTAATAGGATAATCATCTTGTGCCATTTTTCTGTTAGAAGCTCAGAATATACTTCAGTAGGTACTTCACCGTAAAAGGGAAGATGTTTTGTCCACGTAACTAAATTGGTTACAAAATTGTCCCCTACATCACACATGTTTTTCATGACTTTATCAGCAGAGTCATTAATCATGCTGATATCAAACTCCACCTTTAAGTATTTTAAGCAATTGAGGATTTCAGACAATCTGTTATCGGTTTGTCCTATGAAACTTTGTAAGTTTCCTGTACTTTGGAACCAGGGTGATAGCTTTTGAATGATTGAATTTTGTTTGTCATTTTCATGGCTTTCTTTAGTGATTTCACTCCCTTCCTCCTCAACTGTGGCAGTATGGTCATCTGAAACTTTAATATCACTCTCATCATATTGAGGCGAGACACTGAAACTTTTAGATGTATTAAAATCCAAGCTATTCTGGTCACTTATTTTGCCTGTACAATCAGAGATTCCTTCCTTTTCTAATAAACTTGAGTCTGAGATCAAATGACTTGATAAATCTACTCCAATCAGGAAACAACACTCAGAATCTTTCTTTTCATCACCACCAAACTGACTATGACTTTTTTCAGACTTGCCTATTGTACCTGTTTCTGTCTTCTTGGTTGCTGCTCTACATTCAACATTATGCTTTCTATAAGAAGTACACTTTTTATCAGAAACATACTCTGTTAAATCTACATCAGATTGGGAATATGTTTTGTTGGTGTTCACCCAGAGACTTGTAGGATCATATGCAATATCCCTATTTCCTGGAATTTTTGTTAAATCAAGGCCAATTTCACGATGATGTTTAGAAGAACGTCCTGGCAGTTGTGAGATATTTTGATGATACTTAGAAGTCTTCCCTCTATTAAACATGTTAAGATGGTCTTCTGTAAGTGGAAAATTGGCATTTTCCCATGAACTTCTTGATTGACCACAATGATGTAAATTGGTACTATCATTGTTTTTATTGGTATTAATTTGGTGCATCCAAGGAGGTGGCTGTCTCAAATTAATTTCATTCTGTTTGTACCCTTCATCATCTTCTTTACATAAGGAAAAAGTAGGTTTTGCAATATTGTGAGGTCTGTGAAAGTCTTCAAATGATAAGTCATGGTCAGTCACAGGAGACTTTAAACTTGAGCTATCTTCCCCATGGTCAACAATTAAATATTTAGGACTTTTTGTGCTGTGATCATAGTACACACTTGAATCCTTCTTAACAGCATTTTCCTGATGTTTTGTGATTGAAGTGGCTCTGGGAGGATCTGTTAAGTTTTTATTCAAACCAAACATTCCCGGAGAGCAGGAAGTAAAAGAAGTAATATCAGAATTAACTGAACTGTTATACTCCAGTTTTTCATTACCATAAGTAGACTTTGAATCATAAGCTTTCTCATCTTGTGGAATACACTGAACCATGTTTTCAAGGATTCGCAACTGATCTTGCTGACAACCTGTATTAGTTGACAACTCATGTGGAGAATTGAGTATTTTGCATATGTATTTATTTTTTGAGGCAGTCAAATGTTGTTGTTTCCTAGACCATTCATTTCCATATTCACCTCTATTGTCTTGTTTTTTTCCTAATGATTTGTCCTTTCTGTCAGCATGATGAAAAAAACATGATTCAACAATATTTTCTACCATTTTTGGTGCCTGATCTTCAATTAATTTAACTTTTCCAACTTCCTCTTTGTACAAAGACATCATATCTTGTTTTTTCTTGTACTTCTTGTATTTAACCTAAAGTAAAAATATTAATTTTTAAAATTTTATACAGTAAATTTAGAAATATTTGCAATGTATTTATCTTTTATTTGCACGAGCTTAGAACAAAAAGAAAGGCAAGCTATGATTAACTTTTCTTCTGTTTCATGAGTACAAATAAATTATATATTTTTCTACATTAAAAATATAGTGCTTTTCCTCTTTACCCTGCAAATAGTTTATTTTCTGCTGAAAGTTGCAGCTGCTATATTAATTACTTATCACTTAATATCCAATCAGACCAAAAAAGAGGCAAATAAACAGCTGCGCCATGAGCGCATGATACGCCCGTCGTCTTGTGTGTGAATTTTTATGCAATAAGCATAAATAGTTTCTGACAGACGGCGTGACATGCGAAAACCCCCTTTTTTTTTTACAAAAAAACTCAATATCTCTAAAATAAAATTTTGAATCAAAACCAAAAAGTGTACAGATCTTTAGATTAATATAACTAAGAAGTGTGTAAAATTTTAAGCAATAATCATAAATCGTTTTTGAGATATGGCGCGACATGTGAAAAACCCCTCCCCCTTTTTTTACAAATTACTCAATAACTCAAAAATGAAATTTTGAATCATCACCAAAAAGTATACAGATCTTAAGGTTAATATAACTAAGAAGTGTGTAAAGTTTTAAGCAATAATCATAAACTGTTTTTGTGATACGGCGCGACATAAGAAAAACCCCTCCCCCTTTTTTAACAAAATACTCAATATCTCTAAAATAAAATTTTGAATCATCACCAAAAAGTATATAGATCTTAAGATTAATATAACTAAGAAGTGTGTAAAGTTTTAAGCAATAATCATAAATTGTTTTTGAGATACGGCGCGACATGTGAAAAAAAACACACACCTGTTTTAGTTACTAAGTCCCTTAACTCAAAAAGTTTTAATCTTATTTTCACCAAAAAGTATACAGATCGTTTGACCATCATAAGAAACAACTATATAAAGTTTCATGAAATTTGGATAAATTATTCTCAAGTTACGGTGCGGTGCGACATGTTTACGCCGGACAGACAGATGGACAGACAGACAGACAGACGGACGGACACCGGACATTTGTATACCATAATACGTCCCGTCAAAAATTGACGGGCGTATAAAAATGAACTGTGACATAAACAGTAATATCAATATTACTGTTCACTTATAATAACAAGAATGCACAGGCTGAAATGTCTAGCCAGCTGATTTTATGTTGAAAGTCTTAAAGATAAAGGTTTTACTAAAAGTATCAAATAAACTTAACATTTTTAAAGATCTATGAGAATGAGGTCAAGGTCAGATAAATCCTGCCAGACAGACATATACACCTTACAATTTTTTTAAACACCATACATAGTTAACCTATTGCTTATGGAATTGAAAAAAAACAGACCAAAACACAAAAACTTCACATTGATCAATGAACCATGAAAATGGGGTCAAAGTCAGATTATACTGGTCAGACAGACATGTACACCTTACAGTTATTCCATACACCAAATATAGCAGACCAATTACATTAGTGTATGAAAAAAAGACACAAACACAAAAACTTAACATTGACCAATGAACCATGAAAATGAGGTCAAGGTCAAATGATACCTACCAGACAGACATGTACCCATTACAATCATTTCATACACCAAATATAGTTGACCTATTGCTTATAGTACTTGAGAAACTGACCAAAACACAAAAACTTAACACTGACCAATAAACCATGAAAATGAGGTCAAGGTAAGATGAAACCTGCCAGACTGACATGTACCCATTACAATCATTTCATACACCAAATATAGTTGACCTACTGCTTATAGTATTTGAGAAACAGACCTAATCATGTAACTTTAACCTTGATCACTGATCCATGAAATGAGGTCGAGGTCAGGTGAACCCTGTCTGGCGCACATGTAGACGTTGCAAGGAACACATATACCAAATATACTTATCCTATTACTCATAATAAGTGAGAAATTTACATAACAAAAAAACTATAGCAGTTGCTGAACCATGAAAATGAGGTCAAGGAAGGTGGACATATGACAGACGGAAACTTCATAACATAAGGTATCTGCATACAAAATATAAAGCCAGATAGTAATACCTAAGTCTCACATACTGCGATTTTCATCGCAGGTGAGTAAAACAGGAAATTAAAGGATACAGTGGATAAAATTTGTATACCATATGAATATGCCACCTGTTTATTTCAATACCTGTTTTTGTGTAGTAAAATAGCCAATTGCAGGTGAAATTAAGTTATTTAGGAAACTCAAAATCCCAAAGTGTTAAACTTCTTGGGCAAAGATAAAATTTCCCTGATTACCTTGTATAAGTTGTAAACAGCACCTGAGTTCCTTCCTCCAGGCATTCGATCTTCTCTAACCGCTGAAAAAAAATAAAAAAAATTAAGTTCATACTGGTACATATAACAGGACAAATAAATAGTTGTGCCAAGAGCATATGATATGCCCTTATTGTGCATATTGAAATTGTTGCAAAAATAAAATGGGATGTTTAGAAGGCATTTAATCAGGGAAAATAAAACGGTTCTGTAGAAAAACATGCATGAGGATTCCCTTAGTCATATAAGCTCAAGTATTCAATGATATTTTGTCAAATATGACTACTAAAAGTCCCATCAGAAATAAAAAAACAGAAAATTTTTAAAATCAAAAGAGTACACCATTCACCAATCAGTGTTTCTTTTAATCGAAAGGTTTGTTATGTTCAACATTGCAACAGTAATGTAAAGTTGTCAGTAAATCAATTCAAGCAAACTCAAGCTACGGTACGACATGTGAAAAATTTACTAAAATCTGACAATTAAAGTCCTGTAACTACGGAACAGAAAAAAAAGAATATTGAAAAAATGGAATGGGAGCTTTCTTCCTTCAATCCTTATGTTGTGTTAAAATTACATGAGACCATTACTGTTGACCTATTACTGACAGTATCTGAAAGACCATTAAATCCTTGAAACTTAACATTTCACTCCTTGTCTAACAATGATTATATAGATGAATTACTGTTGACCTATTACTGACAGAATCTGAAAGGGTCATCGAATCATTGAAACTTAACATTTCACTCCTTGTCTAACAATGATTATGTAGATGAATTACTGTTGACCTATTACTGACAGTATCTGAAAGGGTCACCGAATCATTGAAACTTAACACATCACTCCTTGTCTAACAATGATTATGTAGATGAATTACTGTTGACCTATTACTGACAGTATCTAAAAGGGTCGTCAAATCATTGAAACTTAACACATCACTCCTTGTCTAACAATGATTATGTAGATGAATTACTGTTGACCTATTACTGACAGAATCTGAAAGGGTCATGAAATCATTGAAACTTAACACATCACTCCTTGTCTAACAATGACTACATAGATGAATTACTGTTAACCTATTACTGACAGTATCTGAAAAACCATCCAATCCTTGAAACTAAACACTTCACTCCTTGCCTAACAATGACTACATAGATGAATTACTTATGAAATATTTACTGACAGAATCTGAAAGGATCACCAAATCATTGAAACTTAACACATCACTCCTTGTCTAACAATGATTATAAAGATGAATTACTGTTGACCTATTACTGACAGAATCTGAAAGGGTCACCGAATTATTGAAACTTAACACTTCACTCCTTGTCTAACAATGATTATATTGATGAATTACTGTTGACCTATTACTGACAGTAACTGAAAAGGTCACCAAATCATTGAACCATTACACATCACCGAAAGGGTCACCAAATCATTGAAACTTAACACATCACTCCTTGTCTAACAATGATAATGTAGATGAAAAGGTCACCAAATCATTGAAACTTAACACATCACTCCTTGTCTAACAATGATAATGTAGATGAAAAGGTCACCAAATCATTGAAACTTAACACATCACCGATAGGGTCACCAAATCATTGAAACTTAAGACTTCACTCCTTGTCCAACAATGATTATGTAGATGAATTACTGTTGATCTATTACTGACAGAATCTGAAAGGGTCACCAAATCATTGAAACTTAACACATCACCGATAGGGTCACCAAATCATTGAAACTTAAGACTTCACTCCTTGTCCAACAATGATTATGTAGATGAATTACTGTTGATCTATTACTGACAGAATCTGAAAGGGTCACCGAATCATTGAAATTAACACTTCACTCCTTGTATCACAATGATTATATAGATGAATTACTGTTGACCTATTACTGACAGAATTTGAAAGGGTCACCAAATCATTGAAACTTAACATTTCACTCCTTGTCTAACAATGATTATATAGATGAATTACAGTTGACCTATTACTGACAGAATCTGAAAGGGTCACCAAATTATTGAAATTAACACTACACGCCTTGTCTAACAATGATTATATAGATGAATTACTGCTGACCTATTACTGACAGTATCTGAAAGGGTCACCGAATCATTGAAACTTAAGACTTCACTCCTTGTCCAACAATGATTATGTAGATGAATTACTGTTGATCTATTACTGACAGAATCTGAAAGGGTCACCGAATCATTGAAATTAACACTTCACTCCTTGTATCACAATGATTATATAGATGAATTACTGTTGACCTATTACTGACAGAATTTGAAAGGGTCACCAAATCATTGAAACTTAACATTTCACTCCTTGTCTAACAATGATTGTATAGATGAATTACTGTTGACCTATTACTGACAGAATCTGAAAGGGTCGCCAAATCATTGAAACTTGACACATCACTCCTTGTCTAACAATGATTATATAGATGAACTACTGTTAACCTATTACTGACAGAATCTGAAAGGGTCGCCAAATCATTGAAACTTGCACTTCACTCCTTGTCTAACAATGATTATATAGATGAATTACAGTTGACCTATTACTGACAGAATCTGAAAGGGTCATCAAATCATTGAAACTTAACACATCACTCCTTGTCTAACAATGATTATATAGATGAATTACTGTTAACCTATTACTGACAGAATCTGAAAGGGTCATCAAATCATTGAAACTTACACTTCACTCACTGTCTAACAATGATTATATAGATGAATTACAGTTGACTTATTACTGACAGAATCTGAAAGGGTCACCAAATCATTGAAACTTAACACATCACTCCTTGTCTAACAATGATTATATAGATGAATTACTGTTAACCTATTACTGACAGAATCTGAAAGGGTCATCATATCATTGAAACTTACACTTCACTCCTTGTCTAACAATGATTATATAGATGAATTACTGTTGACTTATTACTGACAGTAACTGAACGGGCCACCAAATCATTGAAACTTAAGACTACACTCCCTGTTTAACAATTATAACATCTATAGATCAATTTCTGTTAACCTATTACTGTGAGTATCAGAAAATATAATTAAATCAAAGAAACATAACACATACTGCTGAATGAAAATAACACTTTGTTAATTACAACTGACATGATATCGATTTTAGGTGACTCTATGAGACAGACATATCAATTTCAGGTGGCTCTATGAGACAGACATGATATCAATTTCAGGTGACTATGAAACAGACATATCAATTTCAGGTGACTCTATGAGACAGACATGATATCAATTTCAGGTGACTTTATGAGACAGACATATCAATTTCAGGTGACTCTATGAGACAGACATATCAATTTCAGGTGACTCTATGAGACAGACATATCAATTTCAGGTGGCTCTTTGAGACAGACATGATATCAATTTCAGGTGACTCTATGAGACAGACATATCAATTTCAGGTGACTCTATGAGACAGACATGATATCAATTTCAGGTGACTCTATGAAACAGACATATCAATTTCAGGTGACTCTATGAGACAGACATGATATCAATTTCAGGTGACTTTATGAGACAGACATATCAATTTCAGGTGACTCTATGAGACAGACATATCAATTTCAGGTGACTCTATGAGACAGACATATCAATTTCAGGTGGCTCTTTGAGACAGACATGATATCAATTTCAGGTGACTCTATGAGACAGACATGATATCAATTTCAGATGACTCTATGAGACAGACATGATCATAACGTTCCTTTCCTTGATGACAATGGACTATTTATAGCTCCTTCTCAAGGAGAAATCATTTCTAAGGTGGTTCAATATATGCATGGTTTCATTGATGTCTCAGATTACAATAAATATCATATTTTCGTTATTGAAAAACTTTTACAATAGGATATATATCATAAATTGGTCAAAACTGATACTAATTTTAATCATAACAATGGAGATTTCATGAGGGATATGATTCAACCTGAAGGAATTTAACAAGAGGCACACCTGTGCCAGATCACTCACCTGGTGAAAAAATAGTCAGTTAGCTAATAAGGACTTTTATATGCACATACTATAGTTATCATCTGTTTTGCTGATAATTTTTGCAATTTACATGTTAAATCTAGCTTCTATTGTTTTTTAACAAAACAGCAAAAAATCAACATTTCAGGGGCAATAACTCCAAAAAGGGTTGACATATTTTCAGAGTAGATAGATCTTGTAATGATGATCCTTTTTGCAGTTTACACGTTTAACCTAGCTCCTATAGTTTTCAAAATAACAGACAAAAAATGCAAAAATTATAGAAAAAAATGTTTCTTTCAGGGACAATGCAATATTCAGGGTTGATAGATCTTGTCATGCTGATTATTTTTGAATTTACACTTTTAACCCAGCTCCTACATTTTTCACAATAACACCTCAAAACTGCAAAAATGGATATTTCAGGGGCAATAACTCCAAAATGGGTTGACAGATTTTTCTCCAAAATTCAGGGTAGACACATCTTGTCTTGTTGATCCTTTTAACCTAGATCCTTTAGTTTTCACTGTAACAGCCAATAACTGTTAAAAATAGATATTGTCTTTAATAGTCTCTTAAATTTATTTGCAACTTCTCCTAACAAAGAGTCAATTAGAGTTTGATCTGAAAACTGATCTAATAACAGATTTTAATTGCTGATCATTGAATTATGAAAATAAGGTCAAGTTAACATTGTCAGTTAAACATGCATATTCAAAAATGATGGCTAAAGACTATTAAAATATTATTATTGCCCTATACTTATTCTTGTCTGTAAATATAAGTTCCACCTTTATCAAATATCTTTCTTCCAACTTTTTTTCTTTCCCCTATAGATAACTTTGTGTCATTTCATTGAATATGTATGAAAGAAGGGAGATTTGACTACAATCTTTGTGGAAGGAGTGACCATACGAAGTGTTCAGAATATTTCCATGATAGTGCATGTATTGATTTTAACTGGTTCTTAAAGAGTTGTAACAGGTGGATTTTTTTCAGTTGGATATTTGATTGGACAAAGCTATATTTTGCAGACAATATCTTAAATTGTAACAGCTGGTATTATTTTTTTAAGGTGACAGTATAAAAACATGCTGTGATGGATTACTCAGGTTTCTGCCCTGATTCTACAGAACAAAGAATACTTATTTCTACAGCACATAAAAAGCATCCTCTATCAAATCATGATTTCTTTAAATAAACTAGCTGATCAACTGTTATCTATTATAATTTTAATAAAAATATTCAAACTGCGAAAAATACACAAAAAAATTGTCATTCAAGAGTTTTAACTCCTACAACATTTAAGGAGTCAATCAACAATCTTAGTTATGTTGATTTGTAGATCTCAATTTGATGATCATATTTACTGTTTACAGTTTCTCTCTTTCTATTTTTGTTTTGAAGAAAATTGTCAAAAAACTAAAGGAAGGGGATTAATTCAACATTTAAGGGCAATACATCCTATGAAGAGTCATTTGATTTGAGATAATGGATTGATATTCTGTCAGATTTTCTTGAGATTTATCTTTTATAGTTTTCAAGATATCAGACAAAAACTTGCATTTTGACCTATTGTTCATTTTTAACTATCATAAGTGGCTATTCATGCCATTACATGTATATGGAAAGGAGGTAAACAAAATTTACCTGATAAGACCATTCCAACTTTCAGACACTTTTTAAATCTACAATATTGACATCGATTCCTAAGCAGTCTATTCATTGCACAGTCTTCTTTTCCCGAACATTTATAGATTCTCCTTCCTTGTACTGTTCTCTTAAAAAATCCTTTACACCTACAAAAAACACAATATTTAAAAATTTAAATTTAATGAAAAACAATGCAATTCATACAAAATGTGCTTCGGTCAATGCTTTTACACCCCAATAAATTACAAAAAGAAGCATTCAATTCATAAGTACATGGAAGTATAATTATTTATTACACTGCATTTGCTTCATACTAACAAGCTTTCCCTAGCTTTGAGCTAAAATGTTTTACCAGTTGATCAGTTTGAATAGATGACTTCAACCCGCAATTTTGGTAAAAAAATTAGCAATTTGTATTGTGAAATTAGCAATTTGTGTTGTGAAAGGGCACAGCCTTTAAGATAAGCATAGTAATTAAGTGTGAAAAATCTTATAAAAAACCTCCATACATTTTTCCTGTCAAGTAATACATGTAATATACAAGCCGAACAAAAAGTTTAGAAAATAATGAAAATTGGAGGTCAACATATAATTGATATCAGGCCCCTCGGTCATAAAACTTTACTCAGTACTCGGAGTACAAAATTTGTGCTCGAAACAGCAAATCCAGTATTTTGATTGGATGATTTCTGAGTCTGAGTACGGTAATCGTGCTCGAAAGTTTTATGACCCCAAGGCCAGGTCTAGGTAAGCTACAATTTACCAAGAACTACATCTAGCAGCCAAGTATTTTTCAAATCAGATCTACAGGAACTATATGGTCATGAACCTTCCTTTTATTATTTTAAATAAAATTTTATGATCAATTATTACTTCAGCTTATTTTCCTTTATTTAATGTGTTCTTGCTTGTCATCTTACATCTGTCATGTTCGAATCAAATTGTATGTGCTATCCTACTACTATTATTTACCCCAAGAGGGGCAGCACAAATAAGTAAACCCTAAATAATGAAAGATTGTGTATCCTTGAGCACAGAAAATAAGAGTGGAGGGGCAAATTTTTACAGACACATTTCACTGGTCTGGTTTAATTTTGCCTTAGAATTTCTGAGGTGATGAAAATGTGAAAAGTCAAAAGGTAATAATACATCATGTACATAGTCATTTGTATAAAATAGTTCTGTTTGGGCCATGTGGGTGTAAAAAAATCACAATTATGAACATTCTGTTTCGAATTAAGGATAAATTCATATTATTTCAGAAACCATTAGAATTTAATTTTTCGGACTTTATCTATCAGAGCATTTTACAAGAGGTTATGTATAGTTTAAATGTATGATACATTACCCTTCACATGTAACCATGCCATAATGAATTCCAGAAGCCTTGTCACTGCAGATAGCACAAAGTAGTTGGTCTGAGGTATCAGAGTCTGTTTTATCTGTAGATGTATTTAAGGAATCTGTTTCATTTTCCTTTAAAACACCACTATATTCAAATTCATTGTTAATATAATGATGAATAAAAGAATAATCTTGTTTCTTTTCCTTATTACAGGTCAGATCTGGGCCATTTTGTTGTTTCTGGTTAAGCTTTTCAGCCAGCAAGCTTTTAGACATCTTGCTCACAACAGGTCTAATACCCTGACTAACTAGATCCAAACTCTTACTTTCTGGCACCATGGCTAAGACATATCCTTTAGGGAGAGCTGATAGAAGGTGTACTTCAGGCTGCTGTGTATTGCCATCACCTTCCTGAGCTAGAGTTACTGGACAAGGTGTCAATGGATGACCTAATATATTTTTATGTCCAGGAACAATAAACAATCCTGGTACAGAAACATACTGAGAAGATGGCAAGGTGCACAATTTTGACAGGTCTTCTTGAGAAAATGATTTGTCTCTTTTTGGAGATTTCACACAAATTGAAGAATGAGAATCTTTTTGGTCTAATGAGACAGATGAAATACTGCCCCTGACATGACAGTGGGTACTATTTGGTAATAAAGGCCTAACTGCAGTGTTGAGTGGAGGCTTGAAAATGTTTTGTCTGTCTTTAATCTTCTTAATATCTAAGCTTAAACATTCACTACTTATGTACCCACTATCAGAACCATCTGTTGTTGGACAACCATCAGATTTGAAATATCCATCATTAGTCATTAAATGATTTAAACGCTTTCTTTTTAATTTAAGATTTTGGAACAGACTCTCTGCATCTTCATCAGCAGATCCAGACTCCATTATTACTAATCTGTAAAAAAACATTTCATTATTACAATGATTATATGTTTTCCTACAAATAACTATTGCTACATGCTAAAGCATTGGTGAACAATCACTTTTCCGTTGTGAATTTAACCCTAAGACTAATAAAATGCGCCCCCGGCACAGCTTGATACAACCGCAGAGTTCCAACCCTGAACAGTTGGGGCAAGTATGGACACTACATTCAAGCTTGATATAGTTCTGAATTTGGATTGTGATTAAATATATGGCACAGCATAGGTTTCTGCGACAGAATAAATGTGGTCAAAGAACTGAATTTTTTTATATTGGACATTTAGCTATTATGGTCCAATATCCAAAATCTAAATACATGGTTAGATTCAGCATATCCAAGTACACCAAGAATTTAATTTATCTATTTATTAATAAACAATATCAGCTAAGTTTTTAAAGGGGTTCGCTTCATCAAAATAAAATATATGAAAATAAATTTATACAGAATAACAAACAAACCTACCACAAAGTTCTTCAAGAAGGTTTATGAAAAAAATGAAAAAAACAATTTCCAAAATATCGTTCATCATTAATACAATGTCTTTAAAAAATATAAAAAACTTACCTTTAATTGTTTTTCAACATCTCAAATAATGAACAGTAAATTCCTTACTATATTTATACATAATTTCTTCTCTAAAATTATAATTTGATGCTGTATCTGTTTTTATCTATGGATCTACTTACAATTTCTATTAATTGTGTAGTACAGTTCTGATTTCTATTAGTTGTGCAATACAGCTCTGATTTCTATAAATTGTGCAATACAGCTCTGAATTTGGATTATGATTAAATATTTGACATAGCATACATAGGGTTCTGACACAGAATGAATGAAAGAACTTAAAAATTTGAAATTGGACATTCACCTATTATGGTCTAATATGCAAAATCTATATACATGGTTAGATTCAGCATATCAAAGAACCCTAAGAATTCATTTATTGATGAAATCAAACAAAGTTAAACTTTAGACCCTTTGGACCTCAATGTGTACCAATTTGATGATGGGGCCCAATATCCAAAATCTAAATACACGGTTAGATTCAGCATATCAAAGAACCCCATATATTCAATTTTTGCTGAAATCAAACACAGTTTAAATTTGGACCTAGATTTTGACCAACTTGAAAGCTAGGCCTGAAATAAAAAATAGAAATACATGTTTAGATTCAGCATATCAAATAATCCCTTGAATTCAATTTTTGTTAATATCAAACTAAGTTTAATTTTGGACCCTTTGGACCTCAATGTGGACCAATTAAAAAATGAGTCCCAAAATCCAAAATCTAAATAAATGGATAAATTCAGCATATCAAAAGACTTTGAATTAAACCCCTTTGAAATTGGTCAAGATTTAAGCAATCTATACAAAGTATTAGAAAAGTATTGTTTTTGGCCCCTTTTTCATAAACGGTTAAGGCCATAGCCCCAAAATCAATCCCAACCTTCCTTTTACTGTATGGAACCATGTGTACAATTTCAAACAGATCCATAGACTTATACTCAAGTTATAGTCCTTAAACCAGAAAAGCCAAGTTTTTTGGCCACTTTTTGGCCCCTAATTCATAACCTGTTTAGGCCTTAAACCCCAAAATCAATCCCAACCTTCCATTTGAAGTATGGAACCTTGTGGTACAATTTCATAAAGATCTATACACTTATACATGATTATTGTCCTGAAACAAGAAATATGCTTGTTTTTGGTCCCAAATTCCTAAACAGGACAATAACCCCTACAATCAATCCCAACCTTCCTTTTGTGGTACGGGAACCTTGTAAAAGCATTTGATAATAAATTTTCATAATTTCAGGCATATCAGCTTATTTGTATATTATATATATATATATATTCTTTTGCTTTACAATTTTTGACTATGTATTATTATCAGGTTTTCAAGATAATAGACAAAAAATGAGTAAAAATTGCAATTCAAGGGCATTAACTCTTATTTGGTGTCAGTAAACAAATTAAAACAAGATAATTGGCAAACATGCCAAAATTGGTAAATAATAGTCATTTATTGGCAATAACTCCTATAATGAGTTGTTTGACAATTTGATTTTAGTGAATGGTAGGAAGATCTTGACATTCCGAGTATCTTTGCCCTATTATAGCAAAAGCTCAAAGAGCTACTAATTTGTTACTTTCATACCTTATTTTTTTTCTCCACCAATGATAAAATCAAGCCGATCAATTCAAGAAATTCAAATTCATAGGAAAAAAGTATTTTGACTTTCACAATAATATGGACCTTTAGAATCTTTTAATCAATGTTCTCCCATTTAGAATTATTATCAACTGGGAATCTGTACATATCTCAATACTGTTTTTAGACAAAGTAATATCAAAGCTTGCTAAAAAAAAACAATGTTCACAAACTTCTTTCAATAGAACATAAACTGTTTTATTCTAAAAATCAAAATTCTCTGCTCCTCTTCAATACAATATTACTGGTTGATTTCAACTGACATAAATTAATAATCAGTTCAGATTTAGTGAAAAGAAGAAGGGCTTTGAGGATGTTAGGTTCATTTGACCTACCCAATTCTTTTCTTTCCACAAAATAGCAAAATATGACATTTATATTTAAATCAAATGAAAATTTCTATTATTTAGTGGCTAGATTCCTGGGACGGTAATTAACTGGGCCACTTCACCCTAGAATGTAAGCCAAAATTGCCAATCCAGTAAATGGCTTTCATTGTTTATAACAGGGATAAATGTCTGAGTACCTATCTTTGTTAACCCTTTATATGTTATAAGAATGTTTCCAAACATTTTAAAATGTGATGTCTGATAGTAACCAGTATTAGGCCATTACTTTTCTTTCTTTTCATACATTTGTTAATTTTCCATTCTTTCATAGCTAATTAATATTAAGCGAACACTAACTTAAAACAGTGAATGACAGCTGGAATCAAAATGTTGTAATAGGTACAAGGATTTCAGTTTCAGTCCTGTCCTGATCGAGTGACTTATTAAAACTTAATTTCAGTTGGTCTGCCATAAGTAATGAAAGTACCCAGTAAATAGACTTATAAGCATATGGATAAATCTCAATTGTTCATTATTTGTCATGATAATATATGTTGGATTACAAGTTATATATTATATGTGCTTTATCATTAAAATATTTGAATTTGAAGAAAAAAATGGTATATATATGAGCTACAAAAAAAGATATGATAGAAAGCTGGGACTATTATACTAACTGTATAATAGTCCCGGTAGAAATGCAAAAGATACCAAAGGGACATTCAAACTCAAAAGTTGAAAATAAATGGATAAAACCATGGCAAAAAAAGAACAAAAGATAAACAGTTTAGAAAACTAGGACTGAGCAACACAACCCCACAAAAAACGGGTGGGGGAGGAGGGTACCTCAGGTGCTCCAGAGGGATTATAAGCAGACCCTGATCCATATGTGACACCCGTCGTGTTGCTCATGTAAGTACCAACCCGCTTTTGGGTTTTAGGTTAGAGTTAATACACCTTATCGCTATTCCCGCTTGACCCGAGAATCTGTCCCGCTTGAACTTTTGACGTCATACAACAATCACTTTTCCATTGTGGCGTCAGATATTTTCTATTATGACGTCAACGTTTTACGGGAACTTTTGTGATGTCCAGTAATGGCGGACAAATAGCGATAAGGTGTATTATTAAGGGCCCCATCATAAAAATTTGCATTCCTGTTCATGTCAAAAATCTGGAGCCTTATATTACTTACTAATTTTTTTGTTAGAGACAGGGTATGTTGAATCTAAAATGAATTATTTGAAAAATTTTCCAATTTTAATAATCCTGAAACGCATCAACCTTACATGTGTAAATAGACTTCAACTTGATATTGTATGTGCGTATGACTCTCCGTTGTGCCATCTGGTTCAGTCAGTGGTTGTAATTAAATCAGAGGCCAAAAATAAGAGCAGGGCAATAAAGGTGTTCTATGTTTAAATAAGTCTTCGAGCATGTCTTTTTTTCCCGTGTATTCCTCTTTACCCCATTTTTCTGTAAATGAGACTTGAATCTCATATCCTCCATACTGTGACCTAATTATTAAACTTGAACTTGACCTAGAATATTGCCATTGATACAAACACAACCGGACTACTTTTTTAAAACACCATACAACACGTGTCGCGCAGAGTCAACAAACTTTACATCATCCCGATTATCCCACGGTTTGTTCAATAGCTAGATCATTGTTTCTCCATATGGACTTGTCTACAGGTTAATTAATAGTTGTCGTCTCAGCATTTCTATGTTTAGGCCTACCCACCGGAACAATGTCCACTATATTTACATGATCTTATTGTTATTGAAATTTATAAGCTCTGGTTACCCTTTCAATATAGCTGATGTTCCTATGGTAAGGACAACTACCGATGGACTGCACTCATTCAGATTTACAGGAGCCAAACTCTGGAACAAGCTGCCGAAAAAGATGAGGGAAGGAATGTCTTATACGTGTCAGTGGTCGTCCTGAAGATCTTATAGTGAGGTGTAGATCATTTACTTATCTTATATATTGACTTTTATATTTTTGCTTGCATACCTTTTAATTTTGTTTAAAATTCTTTATGTGCTTAATAGCTACTGCATGTGAGTTTGTCTGCATTAAATGTTTGCTTTTAATAGAAGCTTTGATTTGCTTATTATTTTCTATTATTACTGAATTTGCTATTTTGATATCAGTATTTATGCTATGCATGATGTGCTTTCTGTGCATGTGTTTTATGGTCTTTTATGTCTTGTGTTTATCATATATGTATGTCGGTTAAAAGCTCTATAGAGCTCATGTTGTATTGTTATACGATAAGATGAGATATTTTTTTATTCCTATTGTTATAGATAGATAGATATGTTTTATTACCTATTAAAATATGTATACCCGAAAGTTTAAAATAAATTTGTATGCTTATGCTCGGTGGGGTTCGTACGTGTTGCTTTAGTCTTAAGTTCTCTATGTTGTGCTTTGTAGACTGTTGTTTGTCCTTAAGTCGTTTTCTTTTTTGCCATGGCTTTGTCAGTTTGTCTTCTGTTTGTTTGGTAAACTACGAGACGACCTTGTGGGATACATTTCTCAAGTCTTCCGACCGAGTCGGCTTTAACACATCCAACACCAATACTTTGGACAGACACATAAAGATATAAGTGGACGACCACTTGATTCTTAAGGGGGAAAGGGGGGGGGGGGGGGGGGGGGTGGCAGATTTTGAAAATATTCTGGCTTCCTTTTTAAAAGTTGGAAGTAATAATCTTGCCATATCACACATGAAAATAAATATTCTGGCCCAAATTCATTAAAAATCGTTTTAAAAAGAAATTGGCTAACTTCGCCCGCCACATTCACACAGCTATACAATATTTGGCCATTTAAACTATTTTTTATTCGAGCGTCACTGATAATCTTTCCCGACCGTGCGAGGGCTTCACAGCCAGTCAAGGTCATTAAAAACCACCCAGTTACTAATAATCTTTTGAAGACGAAACGCGCGTCTGGCGTACACAATTTTAGTCCTGGTATCTATGATGAGTTTATATAGTTGCAGATAATTTAAAATAAGTACTTCGGACTCAAAAACATCATAAAGTGTCATTTTCAATATTTAAAAAGAAGTATTGCCACTGGCTGATTCAGGAGGCATAGGCGGATCCAAAAGGGGGGGGCAGGGGGGCCCGGGCCCCGCCTTTCGTGGGAAAAATTTGGTTGATTATATAGGGAATCACTGAAGCATGACTGGAGCGGGGCCCCCCCTTAGGTCAGTCAGCGCACCCCCCCCCCCCCCTTTATGAAAAGTTCTGGATCCGCCACTGGGAGGCCTACACTCCCCTCCCTTTTTGAAGGGAAAAATGATTTTTTTAATTTTTTGGGGCCTCTTTACGCTAGGTGATATTTTACATATTTCGACACTTAAATCAATCTATGCTATTATATTTTAATATTTCATCAGAATCAAAAGTCTTAAATTCATTTTGACTGCTGTACAAGTTTGAAGTTGTATGTGTATCCTACCAAAAAGGTGATCTGTATGACAAAAGTTCAAATACTGTTTGATTCTGAGAGGTCTGGGAAGAGGCAGTTTTTGTATTACTTTTTGGACGAGCAGAAAATAAATATTCTTGTCCTGGTCTGAGTGAAAATAAATAATCTGACCGCCTTTAAGTTGGAAATAAATCTTCTGACCTCATAAAATTTGCCAGGTCCCCTCAGAATTAAATGGTTATTCTCTAATTAATTCTAAAATTCCATTTAAAGTCGGCATATAAATGTACAAATAAATCATAACACGAACTCTTGTGCAACTATCATAAAAATTACAGTATAACTGCGGAGTTAAAACCAGAGACATAATTATCTAGTATACGCAGCTGGTCAATTTTCAGGTCTCACCCCCTTTTTAGTCTCGATCAGTAGATCAACAAATTGTATATGAAAGAATATACAATAAAAACCAGTGACAAAAAAGCACTTCGATTGTCAGAAAAGTAACGGTACAGTAGAAAAGATAAAACTGAAAAGACACGTTTAGACTAAATAAACATAACATTTAACTTTTTTATATTAAAATTCAATAAAAACTCATTGTCTTGTTTTTTGCTAGGCAAATCAAAAAATTGAGTTAAAGTTATCTTCCTTTTTTCATGATTGTACATTTATAGTCGAACCTATTTTTATAACAGATTCATACACCATACATTACTTATGTAACTTTAAATAAAAAATACAATCATTATATTGAACCTATGACATGGATTGGATAGGATCTAAATAAATTAATTATCACTTTACTGCACTAATTTTTTTTAACCATCAAAGGCAGTGATAAACCGTGGAAGATATGGAAATCAAGTCAGTACCATAGGGTTTTGATTGCATTTCATGCAATTTTTACCCAAAAATTCGAAATTAGAAACTGAACTAAGAAACAAAGCAATTATACTAAATGATCAATTTCAACCAATCTTCTCCGCTGCATGCCCCATCAGTAAAAAAAGATTTTTTCCAGAAAAAAAAATTAAGACAGATCTACCAGAAAATTTTCTACACATCAGACAAAGTGAAAATAGAATCTGGAGTACCACAAGGATCAGTCTTAGGAGCCAGTCTATTTCTTTTTATATTAACGACCTACCAGAAGGCCTCCACTCAACGATGATACTGTTGTATATTTGACCATTTCATCAGACAACGACTGTCATAAACTCCAAGAAGACCTAGAAAAACTGGCAAATTGGGAAAATATTTGGAAAATAGAGTTCCATCCTGAAAACATGCAGCGTCCTCATAGTCACAAAAAAGAAAAAGGGACTACAAGCTTCATGGCCATACTCTAGAACATGAGACATCAACTAAATACCTGGGCTGCACCATCACAAATTATCTAGATTGGGGATAATACATAAACAACATCACAGGTAACGCCAGGCGAAGCCTTGGTTTCTTACACTGAAAAATCCACATCAGTTCAAAATCTTTCAAGGAGTATGCTTATAAATCCACTATTGCAGCCAAGATTAACTTTTATTTTTTGTCAGTTTAACAAGCATCTAATTCAATAAGCCATTAAATAATGGAAACAAGACAATGTACATTTGTATTTATATAACATTGTTAAACAGATAATATTTGTAAAATACACGATTAAGTTTCAATAAGTAATCATACTATTGATTGTGTTGCCTTTATCATTAGAAGAGTTACTTTTCTAGCAATGAATTGATTCGTCAAATTCCTTAAATTTATAAACCAGAACATTTAACTTTGTGAAGCCAAAATACCATAGTTTTGTTACCTGACTCCCAACTTACCGTAAATTTTCATGCCTATCCTAACACATTGTTTGGACATTATATTGTGTAATCACCGTTAGAGCTAATTTCCTAAAGCTTGCAGAGGAAGACTTTAGTTGGCTTGCTTGCTTGCTTGCTTGCTTTGTTTGCTCAAGCATTGTAATTAAGATTGACATCTGCAAACAATATAGATAGGCGGAGTTAAACCTGTTCAATTGAGTGTTCCTAACCTCCTGGATAAAATCCAATCAAATTTAAGTATAATGTATACAGATTTAACTCCGCCTGTCAAATTATTTTAATACATACCTTACCTTTATTTTGTTTCAGCCACGAGGCAGGAAACGAGTATATTTATATTGTTTGCCTTAATTTATTATTTTCCAATCTAAATTAACTGTAATACGAAAGAATTTGGTATAGTAATGAATGGAGAAACTTTGTCACCATATCAGGTATACTTATTAAAAGTTATTTTGAAAACCAAATCGTATATTTTACAAGTATTATCTGTTTAACAATGTTATTTGAATGTAAATAAAATTGAGAATGGAAATGGGGAATGTGTCAAAGAGACAACAACCCGACCATAGAACAGACAACAGCAGAAGGTCACCAACAGGTCTTCAATGTAGTGAGAAATTCCCTGCATATTTTCTTGCTTTCATTATTCATTGAGATAATTTAAAAACTTCAAATAAGATTTAAACTTTTTAAATTATCTCAATAAACATTTGACATATAAGGTCCGTTTGGATTTTCCTGGTTACCTAAATTCAAAAGTGATAATCTTTGATGCATATCAATCGATTTTGTTGATATTTTTCCTGAATATCTGGACTACTTTCTTATATAATTCATTTGAAACTTACACAGACTACAAAAACAAAACGATTGGTTTTATATAAAAATACCAAAAAAGTTCGGAAAAAAGTCAATCAGTAACAGTGAAATCGAAAATAGACAGGAACAGTGGAATTCATTCACCCATGCAATGATACGACAATCATCGTTAGAATGTTCATCAGACTTATTTCGTCTATCTAAAGGGGCATTAGCTGTCAAATTCATGTTCACCAATTTGACTCAAATTTTCATATTTGATTAATAACAAACTAAAACGTATATTCAAATTACAAAAAGTCTAAAATAAACAATTAACAATGCATGGACTCGATAATATGTATCAGCTTTTCGTGTGTATTTTAGTCTAGACGCCATCTATAAATAACCCTCGAGATGACATCCGAAGACTGCCGACG